GGGGGGATTGTGGTCAAATGGTCAAATACAGATTCCTGGACCCTGCCTTCAAAGTCTCATTTGTCAGTGTCTGAAGCCCAGCTAAATCTAACTCAAGCAAAAAAAAAAAAGAAGAAGAAGGAAGGAAAAAAATATATTTGGCTCAGGTGATGTTCTTTTTGGTCTCAAACTTGTGATTATCCTGTCTCAGCCTCCCAAGTGGCTGGAATGACAGGCATGTGCCACCACTCCTAGCTAGTTCATGTGATCTAAAATCAACAGCACCTTCTGCAGTGCCCGTATGTAGGTTCTCTCACCATTCCAACAGGAATCTCTTCATTTCTTGGCTCTGCTCTCTTTGCAGGCCCTGGGGGAGCAAGGTTGTAAGTCAGCAGATCCCAGATTACATTTAGGAGTTTAACAATCTTTGTGAGAAAAAGAGCAAAAATTCTGAGGGTTATTCCCTGGAACAACCTGCATTACAAGTTGACCCAGGTGATACACCTGGAGAGAAGTCTAACTCTTGTAAGGAAAAAAAAAAAAAAAAAAAGGAGGGGGGGAAGCTGGGCACAGTGGCACACTCTCCTGTAATCCCAGCTGCTCAGGAGGCTGAGGCTGGAGGATCACAAGTTCAAGGTCTGCCTGGGCAACTTAGTGATACCTTGTCTCAAAAGTTAAAATAAAAAGGGCTGGAAATGTTGTTCATGTTTCCTTATCTGCAGAGTGAATCGTGGGACAACGTGGATGCAGTGGTGCATGTCTAGCCCTTGGATCTGGGTCAGGGTACCGCCTTTTCACCCACATCCATTCTCTGCCCCACAGGTGGCGACTGTGCCACCCTGCTGAAGAATATCGGGGCGCTTCCGGTGGAGATGGCCCGCATGTACTTCGCGGAGACCGTGCTGGCGCTAGAGTATTTGCACAACTATGGCATCGTGCACCGCGACCTCAAGCCGGACAAGTGAGCTTTGACTTTACCTAGCCCTTCCTCCCTGGTCCTTGGGAGGCTAGGGGTGAAGTGGACAGCCACCTCTGAGCCCCCCATGTGTGTTTGCAGTCTCCTCATCACCTCCATGGGTCACATCAAGCTCACGGATTTTGGACTCTCCAAGATGGGGCTCATGAGCCTTACCACCAACCTGTATGAAGGCCACATCGAGAAGGATGCCCGGGAATTCCTGGACAAACAGGTGTGTGGCGGGCGTGGGGGTCACTGAGGGTGGAGTGACCCAGCAGGACCTCAGGGGCCCAGGGCCTGGTGGGAGGCACAGTTCTCCCTCGAGGCCACTCCTGCGGCCAGGGAGCGGGCTGACCGCCTGCCCCCAGGTGTGTGGGACCCCAGAGTACATCGCGCCCGAGGTCATCCTGCGTCAGGGCTACGGCAAGCCAGTGGACTGGTGGGCCATGGGGATCATTCTCTACGAGTTCCTGGTGGGCTGCGTGCCCTTCTTCGGGGACACACCGGAAGAGCTCTTTGGACAGGTCATCAGTGGTATGTGCCTCCTAAGTGAGCAGGTGGGGGCACGAGTAGATGGGTAGGATGGGGGCCGTGGGCTCCCAAAGCGATCTCTCAGCTCCAATTACCTTTGCAGATGACATCCTGTGGCCTGAGGGGGATGAGGCCCTGCCCACAGACGCCCAGCTCCTGATATCCAGTCTCCTGCAGACCAACCCCTTGGTCCGGCTTGGGGCAGGTAAGGGGTCTGCTGTGCAGGAGAGCTGAGGCCTGAGGGCCTGTTGAGGAACAGGACACCGGAAGCCAGGCCCGGCTGTCTGTATCATGGCCTTGGGGTGGCCTTGGGGTGGAACATGGGGTGAAGGGCTGGGTTGGCCAGCAGCCGCTGCTGGAGCGCCTTGCCTCCCAGGTGGTGCCTTTGAGGTGAAGCAACACAGTTTCTTTCGAGACCTGGACTGGACGGGGCTGCTGAGGCAGAAGGCTGAGTTCATCCCCCACCTGGAGTCCGAAGATGACACCAGCTATTTCGACAGTGAGTGGCAACAGGAGATGGGGCCTGGGTGGAGGATGGGTCCCAAGACAGGACCTCAGTAAGGTCTGGGATAAACCTAGACACCTCGATAAGAAATCTGAAGTTGAGGCGGCGTGGCCAATGGGAACACTGCAGGGGCGTGGCCTGTCGTGGGGCGGGGCTAGTCCAAGAACCAGTGAGAACTGTGGTTGCAGGTAGGGGTGGAGTCCGGTCCGGGGAGAGTGAGTTGTGAGGTTGGGCTGGGGTCAGAGGGTCGGTCTAGGAATCAAAAGGAGGGGGCGTGGGCTGTTCTGAAGGGTGCCAGGGGGCAGAGCGCTCTAAGTGGGATCTGGGGGTGTGGCCTCTCTGGGGTGGAGTGGTGCCTCTCAGAAAGGAGAAGGGACCCAGCATGGGGGCGGAGCCTGAACCCCTTCGAGAATGTGGCAGGGGCGTGGCCTCACCTGGAGGCCCGGCAAGAACCCGGGTGGAACTCTGAGGAATGGACCGGTATCCACAGTCACCCCCGTCCCCAGCCCGCTCCGATAGGTACCACCACGTGAACTCCTATGACGAAGATGACACGACGGAGGAGGAGCCCGTAGAGATCCGCCAGTTCTCCTCCTGCTCCCCGCGCTTCAGCAAGGTGGGTCAAGGCTGGGCTGGATGAGGGGGTGAGGGCGAGACCAGCTGCGGGACTAGGGTTGGGGAAACAGGTGGATGAGGCCCGGAGGGGTCGTGGGAAGCAGGGCCCCAGGCGCCCAAGGCCTGAGTATTGGGAGGTTACTTAGCAGGTGGGAGTGAGCGACTGGAGAGGCCTGGGGTAGTCAGGACGGGGCGTACAGGGGTTTGTTGGCATTGAGTGGAGTCTGAAGAGAACCAGGACAGTTGGTGCGAATGAGGTTCACAGTGGGGGCAGGGTTAAATTGAACTGGTCCAGTTAGGATTGGGATGAGGATGACCGAAGGGTGGGGCAAAGGTGAGCAAGGTCTAGTTTTGAGGAGAAACTTGGGGATGCCGTGCCCTCGCCTGGTTGAGGATAGCCGCGAAATGGGTAGTGGCCTGGGTAGATTGGCTGGACAGAGAGCAGATGGTTGAGGTCTTTGGCGGGGCCTAGAACTAGGCAGACCTAAACTTTGTGGGGCGGGGCTTGAGTTGAAGAATTGTTGGATTTTTTTTAAGTAGTTTTTTTTTTTTTTTTTTTAGTTGTAGACAGATACAATATATTTTATTTATTTGTTTTTTTATGTGGTGCTAAGAGTCGAACCCCTGGGCCTCACACATGCTAGGCAAGCGCTCTACCACTGAGCCACAACCCCAGCCCCAATTGTCAGATATGGAGAGAATTGGGCAGGGACCCTCGGGAAGAGAAGTGTGGTTTGGGCGCATCTATGTCAGGAAGCTGATTGGCTTGTGAGCGATGGCAGACCCGCCACCACTTACCCACCTTGCAGGTGTATAGCAGTATGGAACAGCTGTCGCAGCATGAGCCCAAGACCCCTGTTGCAGCCGCAGGGGGCAGCAAGCGGGAGCCAGGAGCTAAGGACGAGAAGGTGGCCGGCAAGCGGGAGGGGCTGGGCGGCCTGACCCTCCGTGAGAAGACCTGGAGAGGGGGCTCTCCGGAGATGTGAGCAGGGGTATGGATGGGTTTGGGGGAGGGGCATAGGGGCGTGTCTCCGCTGACCACGACCCCTCCGCGCAGCAAGCGCTTCTCTGCGTCGGAGGCCAGTTTCCTGGAGGGGGAGGCCAGTCCTCCGTTGGGTGCGCGTCGCCGATTCTCGGCACTACTGGAGCCCAGCCGCTTCAGCGCCCCCCAAGAGGATGAAGATGAGGCCCGGCTGCGCAGGCCTCCCCGGCCCGGCTCCGACCCCCCAGGCTCGCTGGATGCTCGGGCCCCCAAAGAGGCGGCTCAAGGGGAAGGCACTCCCAGCACCGGGGAACCTGAGGCCAGTGAGTCCCCTCTCCTGCTGCCTTCCCCAATCCCCAGTGGTGATACACTGAGCATTTAATGAGCCTAGTACTATTCATACTCCATCCTGAAATGCTTATTAATAGTAGGAACACCGGATACTATGCTTGGACTGACGCGACCGACTCGGAAACAGAGGACTTCTCTGTATCAGGAGCTGTGCTGACTGTATATGTTATCCGCCTCGGTTAAATCACGATCCAGCAGGGGAGAGAAGTGGGAAGAGCACTCCAGGCACAGGGAACAGCATGTGAGAAGTCCCTGGCCTTGGACTATCTCTAACCCCCCTGTTCTATGTTGCAGCTGAGCGTGCACGCCCAGGTGACCTCTGCACACCCTTGAAGGATGGGGACCCATCAGGCCCTAGGGCCACCAATGACCTGGTTCTACGCCGGGCACGGCACCAACAGCTATCAGGGGACCCTGCGGTAGAAAAGCGGCCTTCTCGAACAGGCGGCAAAGTCATCAAGTCAGCTTCAGCCACAGCCTTGTCTGTCATGATTCCTGCAGGTGATGAGGGTTCCACCCATCAAGGGAGGAGCTACTCCCACTTGAGCCAGGAAAGGCCAATGAGAATAATGCATTTTCCTTGTCCACAGTGATTGGCTCCATGATGGACCAATGACAGTCAGCTCTGGGATTTGACAGGGAGGAGGGAGGAGCAAATACTGGGAGAGCTGTAGGTAATTGGCCATGACCTGTGACCCTGATTCTATGTTTGCAGTGGACCCACATGGAAGCTCACCCCTTGCTAGTCCCATGTCACCACGATCTCTCTCTTCCAACCCATCCTCACGGGACTCCTCACCCAGCCGTGACTACTCACCTGCTGTCAGTGGCCTCCGCTCCCCCATCACCATTCAACGATCAGGCAAAAAATATGGCTTCACGCTGCGGGCCATCCGCGTCTACATGGGTGACTCAGATGTCTACAGTGTCCACCATATTGTTTGGGTGAGCACTTATGGGTTACATTTGCTTCCAAGGGTGAGGAGAGGGGAGAGAGAAGGCCTCTGGATAAGAATCCCCCGTGACTCCCTCTTTAACTTACCTCTCTGACCCTCAGTTTCTTTATCTGTAAAATGGGAAGAATATGACTATTTCATAAAGTGTTATGAAGACTATAGTGCATGTAGAGCCAGGTGTCTGGCACATAAGCTTATGGAGCTTTTCTTATTACTATTCCGGTTAATCGTGCCCTTTTGGGATTCCCTATCACCAGCATGTGGAGGAAGGTGGCCCAGCCCAAGAGGCAGGCCTCTGTGCCGGGGACCTCATCACCCACGTGAATGGGGAACCTGTGCATGGCATGGTGCATCCTGAGGTCGTGGAGCTTATTCTTAAGGTGAGTGCAAGGTAGGGCCTGCACTGGGTGGAGGGTGAGGAAGACCTGAGCCTTCTCCAGCAGATCATTCCTTCCCTTTCTCCCCTAGAGCGGCAACAAGGTGGCAGTGACCACAACACCCTTTGAAAATACCTCCATCCGAATTGGCCCCGCAAGGCGAAGCAGCTACAAGGCCAAAATGGCCAGGAGGAACAAGCGGCCCTCTGCCAAGGAGGGCCAGGAGAGGTGGGCAGGGCTGTAAATAGCCCAGTCTTTGATCAATAGGAGGGGCTAAGGAGGTGGGACACAGGTGAGGACAGGCAAAGGGAAGTGCATGGGCAGGTGACTAGAGCCAAGGGGACCAACAATGTAAGAGGGGCTGGGAAAGTGGGGAAACCCAGGAAGGGAGGCAGTGCCAGGTTGGGTGAGAGGCATGTGTCGTAGGCAGGTGTGCTTCAGATGTGGAGCAGAGAGAGCAGGGAGAAGTGGCCATGTGTGTCCAGGAGATGGTCCTGCTCTGTTGGATGTGTTTAGAAAGAGGCTGGGTTAAGAGATTTCTATCAGGAGCGAGCATACCAGGCAAGACTGAGCCACCTGAAATACAGTTATGTTGGCTAAACGACAGGAGTCGTTCTAATAAATGCTCCCTTAGGGGATTGCGTTGTTGTGTGAACATCCACGAATGTACTTACACAACAAGACAGCTGTGACACTAGGCTATATATCTCCTGGACTATGGTGGTATATGTGGTCCTTCCCTGATCTTATGGAGGGCATGACCATGATTTCTTTATAGATTGAAGGAGCGAAGGGCTGGGAATTTGACTCAGTTGGTAGAGCGCTTGCCCATTCTGCAAGGCCCTGGGTTCCAGTCCCAGCGCTATAAATACAAAGAAAGATTGAAGGAACTAGGTGAGGTGGGTGGGGATAGAAGTGGTGTTTTTGTTTTTCTGTGGTACTGGGGATCGAATCCAGGGCCTCACATGCTAGGCAAGCGCTCTACCACTGAGCTACTACACCTTAGGACCCCAGAGTGCTGTTTTGATCAATGGATTTGGCCTGGACACTAAGGAGAGGATTTGAGTGAGAGGAGCCAAACTAGGCTGCATCAGGTGAATTAACCCTGATTGGTGGGTTGTAGGAGGAGAGGGTGGGGCTATGAATATGGGAGGAGCCAGAAGAGGTTGGTTTTGTTTGGATTGGTGTTTCTAGCTTGGACTGGGAGTGGCCAACAACGAGCGGGCGTGGTCCAAAGTGGGCGTGGCCAGGCAGGACTGAGACCAGGGAAATTCTGCCTTGATTGTAGAGGAAGTACTAGAAACTCAGAGAGATTACAGCGGCTGCTGTGCAGCCCAGAAGTGGGAGGGGCCAAGACTCTGAAGTTTGATCCAGGTTGGGTGTTTCCCTCCCTTTCTCCCAGCAAGAAGCGCAGCTCCCTCTTTCGGAAGATCACCAAGCAGTCCAACCTGCTGCACACTAGCCGCTCTCTGTCGTCGCTGAACCGCTCACTGTCGTCCAGCGACAGTCTTCCGGGTTCGCCCACACATGGGCTGCCAGCGCGCTCTCCCACACACAGTTACCGCTCCACGCCTGACTCCGCCTACCTAGGTAAGTTTTGCACCTGCGTGGGGTCGGGGGAGAGAGGCACTGGCTTATCAGTGGCCACTGGTGGCGTTGCTCACTGAGCGCTGCATCTCCCTGGCACGCAGGCGCCTCATCCCAGAGCAGCTCGCCGGCCTCCAGCACACCCAACTCGCCGGCGTCGTCGGCCTCACACCACATCCGGCCCAGCACATTGCACGGCTTGTCCCCGAAGCTCCATCGCCAGTACCGCTCTGCGCGATGCAAGTCAGCCGGCAACATCCCGTTGTCGCCACTGGCGCACACGCCGTCTCCCACGCAGGCGTCACCGCCGCCGCTGCCTGGCCACACGGTAGGCAGCTCGCATACCACACAGAGCTTCCCAGCCAAACTTCACTCGTCGCCGCCCGTCGTACGTCCGCGCCCCAAGAGTGCCGAGCCTCCCCGCTCTCCGCTCCTCAAGCGCGTGCAGTCAGCCGAGAAGCTGGGGGCCTCGCTGGGCGCCGACAAGAAGGGCGCACTGCGCAAACACAGCCTTGAGGTGGGCCACCCAGACTTCCGCAAGGACTTCCACGGCGAGCTGGCGCTGCATAGCCTAGCAGAGTCCGATGGTGAGACGCCTCCCATCGAGGGTCCTGGAGCGACCCGTCAAGTCGCCGTCCGTCGCCTGGGCCGCCAGGAGTCGCCCCTGAGCTTGGGCGCGGACCCGTTGCTTCCCGATGGTGCTCCCAGGCCACCGATATCCAGCAAGGAGAAGGAGTCCCCTGGCGGGGCTGAAGCCTGCACTCCTCCCCGTGCTACAACCCCCGGGGGCCGGACCCTGGAGCGGGACCCGGGCTGCACGCGGCACCAGAGTGTTCAGACGGAAGACGGCGCGGGCGGGGTGGCAAGGGCGGTGGCCAAGGCGGCGCTGAGCCCTGTGCAGGAACACGAGACAGGCCGGCGAAGTAGCTCAGGAGAGGCTGGCACGCCCCTGGTGCCCATTGTGGTAGAGCCAGTGAGGCCGGGGGTCAAAGCAGAGGCGTCCCAGCCTCCAGGCACGGACTCCAAGGGCTTACAGGAACCCACCTCCCAGGCGCCCTCTGCACCGGAGGCCCCGAGGGGCCGGGAGCGCTGGGTCCTGGAGGTGGTGGAGGAGCGGACCACGCTGAGCGGAACTCGCTCCAAGCCGGCTTCCCCCAAGCTCTCCCCAGACCCTCAGACACCCATGCTAGCTCCAACGAAGAATGCGCCCAGCAGTGCAGGGCCCCCAGCCCCACCCACTTCCCTCCTGGTCCCAGGCACCAAGCCTGAAGTAGGGCTGACTTCCCAGTGCCCTGTTGAAGCTGTGCCTCCAGCAGGCCTGACCAAAAAAGGGGCATCCAGCTCAGCACCCCCAGGTCCATAGCCAAGGAGGCCGTTGGTCCTGTGCTGTACAGCCATCCTATACATATGTACACATATAAATAAAGTGCGTCTGTGCTGTGTGAGCTCTCTGGGGCTCACCCTTTCTCCCCTGGCAAGGGAGACACACGTGCCAGCCCCCATGCCCATGTGCCCATTTGGAGGTGGAACTCTAGTCCTGGCTACCATGGAAAGGGGAGGTGAATTTTGAGTAGCACACTTATGCACCAGCTGTATCCAGACCCTTAGGAAGAGAAGAGGATGGGGTGTCTAATCTGTGTCCTAATGCCTACCTGAAGAAAAAGTCAATAGCATCATCCAAAGGACTTCCTTTTATTCAACAATCCTGAGTGGCACGTGTTACAATCTCCATTTTGTAGGTTTGTAGACTAAGGCACATAATTGAGGTCACACAATTAGGAGGGGGCTAAACTGGGATTCAAACTCAAGTCCAAACTGGCTCCCAAGCCTTAGTTCTTTGTTCTGCTGACCCTGCTCTATTAGCTACAGGGATCACAGTTTTCCACCAGGGGCTGGAAGGCCTTCCAGAGGGCAGGCAGCTGGGCACACAGTGTGCCTCCACCCCGATATTTTTCTCGGAGGTTCCTATTCATGTCACTCACACAGGCCCAGGGCCCTTCTGGGGCCACACACCATTTGGAGTGGTCCTCTGTGGCACTGAAGCTTGGTCCACTTGGTCCAGGGAAGCTTATTTGGGTCACATCCAGAACGTGTTGGGTCCCTGAACAGTTGGAGGGCAGGGTGCCTCTAGAATTTGGCCAGAACTGGACCTGCAGGTTGCTGCCAAGAGCTGCGGCCAACCAGCCTGAATACAAGTCTGCAGAAAATAGAAAGAGGACATGGCCAGGGGCAGGGCCAATGCTAGAGATTCCCTAGGTCACTCCCTGTCTCTGGGCTCAATTGTCAATTCTCATCAACTGCAAGAATGACAACATTAACATTCATGGCCCTTACCAAAGACTTTATGTGCATCACTTCATTCACAACCATGCTTTAAGGTAGGCATCGGTGTTCCCATTTCCAGACAAGAAAACAGGCTCAGATGAAATCACACAGCCAGAAATCAAAATCTGAACCCTGATGGTTGTTTACCTCTCATGTGATTATGGCTGCCAAAGAAACCTGATCTTGGCTTGTTCTAAGCCGTGGCTACACCAGATTGCCCTTCCACAAAGAACACACCACCCCTCAGCCTCAAGGCTTACCATCTCCAAACTTTCCAGATTTGGCAAAGCTCTGGAAAGCAGTCCCTGCCTGTGTCACGAGTGTTACACTGCTGTTCCAGGGTTCTTGGGTAACATGGGAGCCATTGACCACTTTCTCCAGGATGGGGAGTTTCCGGGCAATGACACTATCCAGCTTGTGGTCATAGACCTGGGGGTAAGTGTAGGTCAGTTGCCCGCCTGGAGGACAAGGAAGAAGGGAATGTGAGGCTGATCATTCCAACTTTTGATCCGGGAATTTAGACTTACCTTGCTAACTCTACTCACCAATCTCTGAGAACTGGGAAAGGGGAAAAGACACACAGAGGAGGGTCTGTCCATATGTTTGAGCATTATGAGGCCAGCTGTATGCACCAGAGGAGGCGGGTGGAGGGAAACGTGGCACGCTGTGAACCAGCCAAAAGCCCCCTTCTTGGTCCAGGAGCAGGACGCCTAAACCAGAAGAAAGGGATCAGGGGACTGCTCAAAGTATTCCCCCTCAAGCAAGATTATCTGCATTTTGCATGGGGTCTTGGAGAGGGTGTAGGCAGGGAACAGATACCCACCCTCCATGAGGTCAAATGTTAGCTTGGGAAAAATGCATAAGGAAACAGGGCCCCTCCTTAGCTCCCAGACCAGGACTCACCTTTCGTATGCCCGCGGCTGGAAGAGTCCTGAACTATGCTGGAGTCAGGCGGCTGGTCATTGTAGAGTAGGAAGGCCAGCTGGGATGGGGGATGGGGGAGAGAGGAGTAACCTAAAGGTTCCCCCCAGGCGGGGCCTCTCCTAGAGTCTCACACCCAAGTTCGGACAGCATCGTTCACCTGGCTAGTGTTGCCACGATACAGCGGCAGCAGGCTGCGGCCCACGGCCCCTGTGGAGCTGTTAATGGACCCCACGCCGTCGCGCCAGCCCCCTGATTTCTCGTCCAAGTATTTGTACCGCATTCCCCTCCAGACCGCATCCCCAGGGTGGTTGTGGGCTGGCAGCTTGTAGACAACGAACCTGGAGGTTGGGGAAGGCACAGAAAAGGAGAAGGGGAAGAGAAGAAGCTCCACGCTTCATGGAACCACCCAGCAAGCCAGAGGCTCCCAGCGGCTCTCCCGCATCTTGCCCCCGCCCAGCCCCGTGGCCTGCTGGCTCACCAGTCCACAGGCTGCCCCGAGTCCCCATAGCAGCTCAGGGCCCCGGCAGGGACCCACAGCAGAGCGACCAGCAGCAGCCTATTCAGCGCTGCCATGGGGCTGGAATTGAGGAATCTGGGTTGAGACAGGGGGGAACCCGGTCACAAGTTCCTAGAGGCCCTTACTTCCCCAAACCTGGGCGGAAACATCTCCAGGGTGGAGACTCCGCCTCTGAGAACCAACGCAGTGATTTGAAAAGGCAGCCTCCCATCCCCTGCAAGGGCGGGGCTCCCCTCCAGGCGGCGCCTCCCCGCAGGCCCGCCCTCCACAGGGCCAGCCTCGGCGGCAGACTCCGCCTCTCGCCACGCCCCCTTAGGGCAGGGCGGTCCGGTGCCCGGCCTCTGATGGGGCGTCTGTGGGAGTCTCGCCCCGGTTTCTCTCTGGGAGGCTAATCTCAGACCACTCTTCTTTTGGAACCCTCTCTAGCTTCCGCATCTGAATCAGGCACAAGTTTGGGTTTCCCCCACTTTCTTGCCTTGTAAGTTAGGCCCAGCTCTTGTCACCTATGTTCTCTTAAGGGGACTGATACTCCCCTTCTTCTCTGTTTTCATTCTGCATGTTTTCTCAGGCTCCCCCTCCCCCCCCCAGCTAGCTGAGTCACCTTGGATCGTGATGAAGTTTTGGGGCCAGTCTGAGGATTCTTAAATGGAGGGACACTGTCGTTGTGAATGTCCCCAGAGCTCAAGACAGGATACAGGACGGTGCTTAGTCTTAGAAGTGGAAAGGGGATGACAAAGCCCTGCAGTGCCCGGAAGGCCCAGGTCATCGTTTGTGAGGGGATATCGAAGTTTAGATGAGGACGTGTACCCCCGACCCCATATCACCTCTGGTGGTACAACTTCCTTCCAACTTCCAACCCTCATAATCCAGTCAGGTCAACGAGGAAGCTTTATATAGGAAGGGCATTTTTATAGGACCCATAACCATTCCCAACTGATGTGGAGCTTCAGGAGTATTGGCATGAAGCTCCCTTGCAGGCCCTGGGTCTCTGGGAAACCTCACACCACCCACCTCCCGCTGTCCAGGGCTTCCTGCAAGCTGGTCTGAGTCCCATTTATTTGATGGTCTGTTGCGCTGGGTCTGTGTGACTGTTAGATATTTCTGTGTGGCTCCCTTTGGTTGGAGACTCCCTTAGGTTTGTCTGTGTCAGTTCTTGATCTTTCCGTGGATTTGTGGAGTCCAAACAAGGGTCCTCTGTCCTTGGGAAAACAACCCTGCATGGATCCACTTTTTACATTCCCCAGTTCCCCGCAAGATCCAAGTACCAGGGCAGGGCTTAAAGGTGGCGCTTCATGTGCAAGGCTAGGTGGTCAGAGCGTGAAAAAGCACGCGGGCAGAACTGGCAGCTGAAGGGACGCAGTCCTGTGTGTTTCCGGAAGTGGCGGGTCAGCTCATCAGAGCGTGCAAACTTCCAGCCGCAGCCATCCCACGAGCAGGCATATGGCTTCTCTCCTAAGGGGCAAGGAAGCTGTGAGTGCCACTGTCTGACCCACCGTGTCCCTGGGTCTGCTGCATCAGGTAACATCCCTTTTCTCAGCCTGGGCCAGAACTAGGGTGGGGCAAGTGAGGTATCTAGGGTATAATACTAAAGGAACACTCATTTTCAGGGGCCTGCGGTGTATGCACCCTTCTTCTTCCTCTATACCTCCAATTGGCTCACACACTCTCTCATTTCCTGGGCCCAAGCCTGCACCCTACAACATTGTCCTCACTTCCTATGCCCTAGTACCCTGTCCTAGGACAGCCCCAACCCTGTCCTTCTGTCCTGCCTCCAATAGTCCAGGCCCTTTCTTGCACCAGGGAGCCCTTAGCAGCTGTGTAACCTCGCCCCTGACCTTGGTGTCTGAACCCTGAAATTCACCTCCGTGTTCCAGGCCTTGTGTCCAGTGGTTATGATCTCCTCGCTGCGCTTGAGGGACAGTATACACTTGGCCTAACCCTTGTCTATCACTCCTGGGACCTAACTTCTTCTTCTTCTTCTTTTTTTTTTTTTTTTTTTTTTTTTTTGTTGTTGTTTTTGTTGTTGTTGTTGTTGGTGGTGGTGGTGATGGGAATTGCAGCAAAGGCCTTAAGCATTCCACTGAGTCACATTCCCAGTCCCTTTTTATGCCTTTTGTCTCCCAGCTCTCCCCTCTTACGCTCTAGACCTGCTTGGATGTCGAGGCCTTTCCTCAGTGAGTCAACCCTGAAACTGATTATACCCATCTTATCCTGCTGGGTCCTAGCCACGCCTCCTACGCGTCTGGTTCAGCCTCAACACCAAGCAAACACATGCCCGAAACACTGGCCATGGCCTCAGTGGCTCTGGCATTCCAGATTGAACCCTCCCCACAGCCCCTCCTCTAGCTGCACCCCTCGTCCGGACTTCTGCCCCTCCGACCAGCCCTGGCGCAGCTCTTACGAGTCGGCCCCCAGTACTGAAACGCTCCCCCAATTTTCCAGGCCCTTTTTCTGCCCGGTCCTCCTCCAGCGTTGGTGCTGTGCTCTCTGGCTCTGCCCGGGAAGTTCCAGATCTCCTCCCCGCTCACTCGGCCCCGCCCCTTGCTGTGACTCGGCTTTTAGCCCTGCCTCTGCCGTCCAGAACCTGCCCTCCGGCCTGCACTTCGCCTTTAGCCCCCGCGCCCTTCTTAATTTCTCGCTCTGCGGCGGGGCTCTGCTCTGGGGTCCTGTTCTAACCCGGCCGCGCGCCCGGGCCCCGCCCCCTTACCCGTGTGCGTGCGCAAATGCGCCTTCAGGTGGGAGCTCTTGGTGTAGCTCTTGCCGCACCCCGGGTGCGCGCACGTGTGCGCAGCCTGCCTCTTGTGCGTCCACGGGCGCCGACCGCGCTTTGATGGAGCGACGTCTGTAGTTACTCCTGAGTCTCCTGCGGAGCCCCCGAGTCCTGTGCCCACCGTCCCGGGTCCCAGGCAATTCAGATAGGATGGGGTCGCGACGGGGGCAGGCGAAGGCGCCGGGAGACCGGGGAAGAACTGGAAGTGCCCTTGATACTGCGGCGCTGGGTACAGCGCGGGATACCCCGATAGCAGCCCGTAGGGGGCGCCCGGAGCCGCGGGCACTGAAAACCCGGTTCGCGGGAAGTAGCTACCCGAGGAGCCCGCACCTGACCCTGGGTACATTGGCTGCAGCTGCAGTGTCTTGGGCTCGGGGGCCGGGGCCAGGGCTGGTGCCACTAAGGGGTTGGGAGCTGTCGCCCCCTGGGCAGGGCGAATCCAGCCTGCCTGCTCCTCGGAGCCCAAGAGCCCAGCCGAAAACTCCGAGCCGCCGGCATACGGGCCCAGAGTCTCAGGCGGCGGTGGGAATTGCGCCCCGGGGCCCTCACTGGACGTCAGAGCACAGGTCCGGGGCTCACCGCCCGGCTCCGGGCCCGGAAAGTTGGTGAGCAAAAGACTCAGGTCCCAGTCGGCGGCCGCGTCCTTCTCATTGTCCTCATTCTCCCTAGGCTGGTCTTCCGACTCCATGCCCACGTAAAGGGGTGGCCCCGTGTGGTCGGGGGGACCCGGACCCATGTCCTGTGCCTCCTCGGAACGCCACCACTGGAGAGGGAGCACACAGCTTGAGACTTGAGCAGACACCGGGGTACTTTACCCAGGGACAGTGGCTGGCCAGAGGCTTCTGAAAGGGGACTTGTCTGACTGTCATACCCCAAACTACCCCCCTAACTCTCCTTCAGCTCCAAAGACAGAGGTCCATAGGTCTGTCTGGAGAGAGAAGATAAGACTTCCTTTATCTGCAGCCATATTCAGGATGGGGGAAGGGTGGTAGAACTGGGGATGGGAAGCTGAGTTGGGGAAACCCAGCCTTGACTCAGTTGCCCCCCAGATCCTCCCTCTCCTTCCCCATCTCCTAATAAGATTAAGTCCCAAGGCCTGGAAAAACCTCAGATAGCTTTACTCTTTCCAATTGATATCGGGGACATTGTCTGTCCTTCTGAGCCTAAACACGCAAGGGGTTCAGCTCACACCTCAGTTTTCCATTTCAGAAATAGGCCCCATCCCAAACCTCAGAACCCCCTAGACCTGGATGGAGGAGAATACCAAGGCAAAATGCAGGCCTAACCGCGCCCCCCCCCCCCAAAAAAAAAAAAAACCTGTGGCCACAGCACTGACTTGTGGACAGCCCACCTGGATCCCACCTGACCCCACCTTAAGGAAGTCCTCCTGGGTGTCCGGGAAGGGGCCCAGGGTCGTCAGCGTGCTGATGGAGGGCAAGGCAGTCTCAGCTGTGGCCATGGCTGGCTGGTGCTCACCCTGCACCTCAGGCCTCCTCTCCCTTGGCTGCCTCGTGGGCTCTGAGGCTCTCTGGGCCCCTTGGAGGGCTCCTCTCAGCCCTCAGCTGATTGGCTGCAGCCCTTGATAAGGCACAGACAAGGCAGGGGTCACTGTTTCAGGGGAACGGACCTCACCTCCTACTGTTTGGGGCTGGGCCTGAAAGACTGATTCTGTTTTCAAAGCTAAGTCAGATGTTGGTGGTTGGGGGGGTCCTGGGATTGAGGGTGCAGGTGTTGGGTAAAGAGGCACTGAGTTCTCAAAAAGGGAGAAGCTTGGAGGCCTGCTCTCAGTTTACCTTTCTGGAGAAAGGGCAAGTGACAGAATGCATATTCTGGGAAGGGGCTCTGGGACCCCCTTGTTCCCCAAGTAGGACTCTGCAGCCCTTCCCCTCCCCAATAAACAGCAGCAACCGTGCTGATGGCGGGACTTGGCACGAACTCCCTGCCAGGCATTATCAGACACACCAGATGTCGGAGGTTGCTATCAGGTGGGGGCCCAGAACACCCAGAGCTGTGTCCCCAGTGAGGGGGAGGGCTGGAGGGTGGGTCTGCAAACTAGCTTGGTTTCATACTCACTGGGATGTGAGCTCTCAGGGTCTGAACCCTGTGGTGGGAGGGAGCCCCTGCCAATCAGCCAACCATTGCCTACCACTGACTCTCAGTGGGCACTGCATGGAACTATGGGGAAGGGGAGGCTGGTGCAGTTACAGTTGTTTCAAGGTGATGGGGGCAGGGATGGGATGTTGGATCAAGCAGGAGACCCAAACCCTGGCTCTGGGCCTGGCCACTGCTCGATGAATGAACCACACTGAGGTTCTGCAAGAGAGGCCTCCACTCTGGTGCCTGGGGAGCTTGGACAGGCACACAACCTCACGCCCCAGAAACAGTTCCTAGCTCACATAGC